TTCTGCTGATTAATGAATGCACTTCACATACAGAACTGCTCAAACTTAGAGGACACTTGGAACATCTCATTTTAACTATATCTTTGTTCAGGATTACAAGAGGTGAATGTAACTACATAAATGATTTTTGCTAGGGCTGGCATTTGGGGAAAAACAGTTGTCTACTTTTTGAACATCCCTGGGCTACCATTAACCTCAACATGTGAGAGCCAATATAGCAATGTTTAAGAATGTGGACTTTGGAGTCCAGCTGCCTGGGTGTTGGCTCTGAAAGCTGTGTGAGCTTAGGTAAATTTTTTGTTGTTGTTATTTTGTTTTTTTGTGGTGCTGGGGATTGTGCCCAGGGGCTTATGCATGTGAGGCAGGCACTCTACCACCTGAGCTACATCCCCAGCCCTTTAGGTAATTCCTTAACTTCTCTGTGACCCAGTTCCTTCATCTGTAAAATGAAGGTAGATAGCTGAGTGCAGTGGTACACATCTATAATCCCAGCAGCTTGGGAGGTAGAGATAGGAGAATCACAAGTTTGAGGCAAACCTGAACTGTTTAGTAAGACCTGCCTCAAAATAAAGTAAAAAAAGCTGGAGATATAGCTTAGAATAAAATGCTTTTGCCTGGTATGCATGAGGCTTTGGATTCAATTCCCAGTATTTCAAGGGGAAAAAAAAAAAAAGGAGGAGGAAGAGTCTGGTGCTAGATTTAATGGATGACTATATGTAGAGCACTTTGACCTTTGCCTGCTCTGCACAGGTAAGCACTGTGTGAGCACTAACCATCACAACAAGCTTTATTCTCTTCATTTACTTCCTGGATCTATAGCAAAACCAGCAGTGTGGCTGTTGACTAACCACACTGAGAATTACTAACCTAGTCATTAGTTGGTGTTTAGAAACTACTGTTGAAATAAGTAATGCCTGGAGAACTTGGGTGAAGAAGGGAGTCCAAACTTGAGCTTTAGCATTTATCAGATGGGAAATTTCATTCAAGAGACAGTGCATCCAGATCTTTAAGTTCTGAGTCTAACACATGGGTGCTCTGTGGCTGTCAGTTGAATCTGAATAGCTGATGACACCATTTCAGAGTGGGCATGTTTAAACCTCTCATTCCAACTATGGAGAAGCAAGAGTGAGGTACTGCACACAAAAGAGTGGGTAGTTTCTGACAGAAAGAAATTGACTTGTCTCTGCAAGCAAATAAAAATTGATGGTCTAGAAAATAAATTTTCAGAGAAAAATGAACAAGGTTAAATAATAGGATGAAGTTACTGCATCTGTTGTGTTCTGCAAATATTTTAACTCTTTGAGCAAATCAGACTTTTTCCTTGAAGAAATTGCAAGTGAATTTTTACCAGGTGTTTGACTTCCACCTCTGTATTGCGGATGCTGAGGGTCAGTGGCCATGTTTGATCATCCCTCTGATTCCCCAACCCCCTCCCATGGACCTCAACTTGTCAGCTGAGGAGATACCGCAGTCTTCTTGTGGAAGGAAAAAGACCTGTAAAGCCATTTTTTATGTGAGTAACAGGAGGTCTAGGGATCAGGTGGAAAATAAGAGCCCTATCTAATAGGTAAGATGGTTCTGTGAGAAGAAAAAGTGCTCTGGAGTTACAGACTAAACTTCCAACCCAGGTTCCAGGACTTAAGAGCTAGGTGATATTAGCAAGTGGCTCATTCTCTTTATATCTCATTTTCCTCCTTTGTAAAATGGGCTATCATTACCTTTTGGGGACTGTCATGAGGATCAAATGTGGTCTATGTAAAATGCTAAATACAAAGTAGACCTTCAACTCACAATAGCTTTTGTCATTATTACCTGGGAACATATACATCTAACCTGGTTCTATTTTATCCAGTTGGTATTTCCTGTCTCCAGTGAGGTGAAAATTAAAATTATTAAGAATATATGTGTGCATATGTGTATATACATATATACATACATATATGCATATAGCAATGCATATTCACATGTATGTGTATTCCATGGATCATAAAACACTGGAGGATCTAAATTTTTAGGAAATCATCAATTATATCAAATAAATTATATCAAATGATTAGAAGAATATGGCTACTTGCTCACAACAAAACAAATGCATTTTGATGTTATCTGAATAGTAGTATAAAGTATAATCTAATGGTGGAAACTCTTTTCTTTAGGATTCCCGGAAACGTGCTCTGGTCTGGTGTGCACAGGAAGTGCTGAAAATGCTTGTTAAGTGTTTTACTAAAGCTCTCTTAGTGCATATTTATACAGTTGTACATTTTTATGATTGTCATTTCTGTATCTTCGAGAACAAATCTTAAAAAAACAACAACAACATAGTGAAGCCAAGCTTTTGCTCGAACTGTCAAGGCTAGGTTTGAACATTGCTTCATTCTTCATTATGCTTGCAAAATAAGAATGCCTGGGTAGGCACAAAGATGGGAAGGAAATAAAAAACAATATGAATTGTGGTTCTGTTGTTTTTTCCTCAACATATGCTTTGTTTTTTTATGTTTTTATTTTTTCCTACTTGTATCCTAATTTTCCTTAAAAACATATTACTTTTATATTTTAAACCCTAATTTCTTCCCTAATATCTGTAATGTATGAACATGCACACATGTGCACATGTACACACACACACACACACACATACACTCTTTACAAGACTTGGCTGAGGTAAAACTAAAATCATTGAACATGGAGCATATGGACTCAATGAGAAGGTCCTCATATTTCAGTCCTCTTGAGACTTGAGTAGTTATATGTCAGAAAAAGGTCTGAAGAGGTATGGTTCTTGTATGCTATAGATATACAAACTGACCATGGAACCCACTGTCTCCATAGTCTTTAACTTTGATATTAAAGATCCCAGAAACCATGTGAAAATATTAGTATGAAACAGATTGGAGGTTTTTTAAATCAAAGGTACATAAGCATATAAGTATAGAGTCAAATGGTTTTTGTATTGATTTTCTATTGATGCATAACAAGTTACCCTAAAAATTCGGTGGCTTCAGAAAATGATAAGCATTTATTATCTCATAGTCTGTGGGTCAAAATTTGGAACAAGTTTATCTGGGTGGTTCTGGAGTCTCTCAATGTCTTTCATGAGGTTGTAGTCAAAATATTGGCCAGAACTGCTAATACCTGAAGGCTTGGCTGGGCTGCAGTATCCACTTCCCTCTCTCATGGCTGGCAAATTGGGGTCAGATGTTGGCAGGAGGTCCAGTTCCTCATCTGTGGGCCTCTCCATTGGGTCCTTACAACATGGCAACTGGCTTCCTTCCCATCCAAGGGTAGAGCTGCAATGTGCTTTATGACCCAACCTCAGAAGTCACACTCCATCATTTCCACAGCATCTGATTGGTCACACAAGTCAGGCCTACTCATTGTGAGAGTGACCTACCAACAGTGTGAACCACTAGGCAAGAATCATCTAAGGGGCCACTTTGGAGACTGCTGCAGTTCTCCAAAATTTGATGCAAAATCATCACTCTTTCAAACCTGTGGAGTAGGTATATATGTGTGTGTAAAAGGACAATTGGGGGAGATTCCCTTCTCTTCTGAGATCATCATTTTAACTTTTAGCTGATTCTTTTGATACGCATACTTTTTTTTTTTTTTTTTTGGTACCAAGGATTGAACCCAGGGACACTCAACCACTGAGCCACATCCCCAGCCATTTTTTTTAAAGACCCCAGAACCATCCAGATAAACTTTTTTTATTTAGAGATGGAGGTCTCACTGAGTTGCTTAGGGCCTCACTAAGTTGCTGAGGTCGGCTTTGAACTCACAATCCTCCTGCTTGAGCCTCCCAAGCTTGTAATTACAAAGCATGTGCCACCACACCAGGCTTGGTATGCCTACTTTTGATAAAGCTTTTTCTTCCTCCTTCAATTTTTCTCACCTGTTGTCCTAATGGGCCTCTTTCTAAAAATTCTTTCCCTATTCTTCTTATTCACATTCTAATATGTGAGGATTTATTGAATTTGTGTGTCCATTGACGCTCTTCTGTGAATGGAACACTTTAGTTTCAGAAACAGATTCCTCTGTGATGATATTCAAAACAAAACATTTACAAACTAGACAGTGTTCAAAGTAATAATGTCCAATTGGTTTATCACAGAAAGAACTAGAATTTAGTATCTATGTAATACAGACATTTGGGCCTCAAGTACTATGTGAAACACTGTGAAGTCAGATTTATTAGATATGATTTATTAGTCAAATTTATTGGCCTACAGAAGAGCTAAAGTGAACGTAGACATTTGTAAAGACAGTTTGATGATTGAATAGTCATAAAAAGAACACCTACTTGCCGCAGTCTGTCTGGGCACAATTCAGGCGCCACTTGTCAAGCAAAAACGAACTTTATTTTTAGAACACACATGCCACACCACAGGAGCTCTTCAAGAATTCCCTCAGAGCCCAACTGACACCACCGGCTTCCCACAAGCCTCTCAACCTCCCCCACTCCTCCTGCTCTTGAGGCCGATTGGCTGGGTCATGTGGGCGGAGCCAAAAAAGGTCCCCCAGTGAGCAGCTCCGTGGTCTGAAAGGGCGGGGAAACAGCCCAATGAGCATCACCACAGAGGAGCCAATCAGTTGGCAGCTAGAAGTTTGCTGGGGCCACTGTGAGCCAATCATCAGCTGGCAGCTGGAAGTTTGCTGGCAGCTGGAAGTTTGCTGGGGCCCCTTCGGCTGTGGCTCTCAACACCTACTTAATCTTTATGTAAACCTGCTGGTGACATGTTTGCCAACCCTACATACAGAGCTGTATGCTACCCCTCTGCCCTGCCCTATGCCTTGGAGGTCATACATCATGTGATAATGCTGTCCTTGGGACCAGGGAGGGCCTCCTTGCTCTGAGGGCTGTCTGTAAATCTGGCAGTTCCCATGTCTTCCTTTAACAGACTTTCAAGCTCCTTTTAGTTCTATTTGTCACTTGTGACTGTTTTCTTAGGTTAGTCCTCACCTCACAGTCCCTCCTAAGTTATTTTTATTTTAATTTTTTTTGGCGGTAGCTGGGAGTTGAACCCAGGGCCTCGTGCATGCTAGGCAAGTGCTCTACCACTGAGCGATATCCCCAGCTCTCCCTCCTAAGTTTTATTTGTTTATTATAGCTATGAACCAGGAAATAAAATAAAGGAGCATATTTATATATGTCTAAAATAGATGCTGATGAATTGATAAAGTGAATAATGTTGCCGTAGAAGTATTAATAAGACACAGCCACTGAGGCCATCTGGGATCCAGCTGGAGGGAATCCCATGATGGGTAAGAAATGATAGAAGAGCTGTGAGTTCACTTGTTAAAACACTGACCTGCTAGTACTGAGTTACATTTGCAGGGTAACTGTAAGGGAAGCTGCACCAGCCATTCCAAGAAGGCAGCTGCCTGCTCCCAGCGCGTGGGCAGGAGTGGAGGTGATAAGAGTGGCCCAAGGACTCAGAAAGTGCAGCTCCTGTGTTTCACCAGCTGTGTGACCTTGAGTGAATTAGCTCATCTTTCAAAGTCTTGATATATCATCTGTAAAACAAGAGATATGTCAGGCATGGTGGTACATGCCTGGAATCCCAGAGACTCAAGAGGCTGAGTCAGGAGGATTGCAAGTTTGAAGGTGGCCTTAGAAACTTTGCAAGACTTGTCTTAAAAAAAAAAAAAAAAAAGGCCTGGGGATGATACTTGGTGCTAAAGTAATTGTGGGCTTGATTCCTGGTTCCAAAATAAATAATCTAATATAAGATAGGAGATAATACCTAGCACACTGTTCTAACAGTAGATGAAGAATGTGTAAAAATTGCTCAGCCCACTGCCTGGCACACAACAAGCATTCAAATATTAGCATTTGTTTAACAAACATGTATGCCTGGGTTGGATCCTCACTGTATGTCACATTGGGTGCCTCCCTTTTTTTCTTTTTAAATCAGTAAGAGATGTTAAATAAGAATCCTCACAAAAACTTTATGGTTAAAGAACAATGATACAGCAAGGATGAGATTGGCACTTAGGGTGTGATCACAGGATGGAATGTATTAATGTGTTCATACCTTGAAGACTCTGAGGCTTTGGAATCTATGGGTTCATCCGAGCATATCCCTTTAAGAGTTAGAGTTAACCTGAGTTTAAAGGTCAGGAATGGAGGGTCTGGAATGTCTGTGAGGATGGGCAATTTTAGGCAAAGACCACAAAAAGAAGGAAGATTCTCATCTAAATAAGTTAGGCAGGAACTGGGGAGAGAATGAGGTTGACTGTTCATTAGTGAGAAAAATTTCAGGGAAAGAACACACAACTCATGTGAAGTCACAAAAATGAAATCCATACTAAATTTGGCTCCAGGCAGGGCTGAGTGCAGGACTCAGATGGTGGAAAAGGAACCCCTCCCGCCCCCAACCTGATAGATGGGCTGTCTTCAAGTTGTGAGCAAGACACACGTCTTTCAGCTCAGTGACCAGAGAGGGACCTGAGTTTCTAAAGACCTGTCAGTTTCAGGGTCTAGCCCGAGTCACAAGTATGACCTTCTCCCAGTCACGGTGGCCTTGCTGGGACTGGAATGCCCTGGGAAAAGCCTGCCAACTGAACCACATAGAAGTGGCTCATCACCCTCTATAAGAGAGGAGTTCTGCTCCTGAAGACAGAGTGAAGGATGCCAGCCAATGCAAGGAACAGACCCACAGCAGGTAGTGAGCACCCTGCTGAACCTCCCCATACCATCTGCCAACACCCTCCTAACTCCGTGGGTAAATACACCTTCTGCTTCAGCCTGACACCAGCCCCTGAGCCAACAGGACCTCTGAGGTGGCTGCCGGGTCATGTGATCAGACCAGTTCCTAGAAACCCCATTGTAGAGCAGTCCAGAGGACTAAAGCCCAGGCAGTCCCTTTGTTCCAAGGGGTTTGAAGCCGAGGCAGAATTCACTGAATATAGGGTCAGCAGAATGAAGACTGGGAAAAAGTATTACATGGACAGTACTAAATGAATGAGGACCCCTGGGACCTCCTTAGATCCAGCTGCTGGTTCAAGATCACCTCAAACTGGGGGAGGTGATGGTAGAAGAGTTGTGAGTTGCCCCAGCCCAAAGGCTGACCTGATAGTACCCAGTTACATATGCTCTTTATTTCTAGTATTCTTCCCCTGAATCATGGGTAGTCTCCAGTCTCCACTGAACTAGACTTTATCCCTAGTAGAAAATTCTCATAAGCATTTTTAGAGAATGGTTTGTTTGCAGTAAGAAGAGACACACACAGCCTGTGCTAGAACATACAACCTTCAAAGACTTCTGAGTAAGCAGGCCCATGGGGCAGGGGCATGGTAGCACAGATTACTAGAATGCTTCAGAAATCCTTTTCTGCTTCAGATAAGTGAATAATTAAATTTGGGGTCGGCAACTGGAGAAGTGCCAGGAATGGAATGAGCATCTGTGGATCACGCTGCTTCAGCGGCTCAGCTCTTTACTAGAGCCGTGTTGGAGAGAAAGCAGGGGCCACCAGGATGAGCAGGTGTGCCAGGAGCTGTGACTCATCATGTTCACTTTCAAGCTTTTGTCTTATAAAAAGATTGATTCAGGATAACTCAAATTCCAGAGAAAAATGGACCATTTCTTGTTTTAGATTCTGGCTTAGGCACAGCAGGTAGATTTTCCAAATTGCTTCATCTGACATTTCCTAGAAATGTAAGCTAACATGATTCCATTTTTTTTTTTTTTGGCAACTGGAAAAATCAGATCGGAACATTCCACAAGTCAGTTGGCAGGGCTGGGGATTTTGAACGCTTAGCCATCTCTCTTGAGCTTGAGCCTGATTTTGTCAAGTGATTTTTAACCGTGAGACAGTCCATTTTTAGATCTGGATATGGTCTTAGAAAATATCAGTCTTTTGCCAAAGGCCAGTGAATAATATGCACATTAGGGCTGGGAATATTGATTAGAATCCAATTCTTTTATATCTTTGAGTCACTCGAAGAAAATGACTATTATTTGTGATGTAATTTGTTTAGCACATGGAGAAAAGTGATGCTTCTTAAATCCCTCTTCTCCTGGCTTTCCCTCTTGGTTCACGATGGTATCTGCTCTTGCTAGGGCCCTTACTAAAGCAAGCATGGAAAACTGGATCAGGAACACTCTACTTGAAGCACCTTTTCTGACCATGTTGGGCAGATTCACCAGGCAACTCCACTTAGCCAGTGATAAATACCATATTCCATGTAATGATGTCCTTTGATCTTTTCAATGGGAAATAGTAGGCTGAGCAAATTAAGTCCGAGCAAGTACCATCAGTTACTTATTTCTTAATTGCCAGACATGTCTGGTCTTCACCAATTGTCTCAAAGACACCACTTAAATTTACTGTTTTAACATGCTTTTCTATACTGTTTTGGACTTTCTCTATTCAATAATCTTTCATGCCATTCTTCAGTGTTTTTTTTTTTTTTTATTGTTTTCAAGGCTGTTACAGATGTCCCTTTGGGATTATTTACTTTAACTATAGTCTTTTCTTTTTTAATCCTGTTCCTCTTCCTCCTCCTTCTTCAGCCTTTTTTCTCCAGTGTTGAAGACTGAACATGCTTTACCACTGAGCTACATCCCCAATCCTTTTTATTTCTTATTTTGAGACAGGGTCTTGTTAACTTGCTGAGGATGGCTTTGAATTTGCAATCCTCCTGCCTCAGCCACTCAATTCACTGAGATTATGGGTGTGTACTACTATATACAGTTTGTAGTCGTTTCTTTCTTTCTTTTTTTATTAATTTTTTTTGTAGTTGTAGATGGACAGAATGCCTTTATTTTATTTGTTTATTTTTATGTGGTGCTGAGGATCGAACCCAGTGTATCACGCAGACTAGGCAAGTGCTCTGCCACTGAGCTACAGTCCCAGCCCTTGTAGTAGTTTCTTTTTTTTTTAAAGAGAGAGAGAGAATTTTAATATTTATTTTTTAGTTTTCGGCGGACACAACATCTTTGTTTGTATGTGGTGCTGAGGATCGAACCCGGGCCGCACACATGCCAACGAGCACGCTACCTCTTGAGCCACATCCCCAGCCCCAATAGTAGTTTCTTGATAATGAAATTTCTGATATTCAAAGATAACACTTGGGTGGATAAAAATCTAGGCATTTTTCTTTGGGGTGGGGAGGATTAGAGAAGAGATGAGACACTTTATAATGAGCATCATTATAAAGCCAATTTATGCTTTATAATGCTAATTATAAATTGGCTTTAGACTGGTTTATTTAAGGGCCTCTGGGATCCCCCAGGTATATATTGCCAAAATGCACTTGGAAACTCAGAAGACAGCTCAAGGCTAGAGATGGATGGTAGAAATTATCAGCTTCTAAGTAATAAGTGAAACCACTGGAGTAGAGAGGTAAACATTCAAAGGAAAATTCACGGATTTTAAAAAGTTTAGTATTGGGGTTTGGGAAAGAGTCCTGTTTTTGGAAGTCAAGGCCAAGATACGAGTATGGCCACTGGACAGTCACTGGTCTCAAATAGCATGTTTGTGGAGCGGAGCAGCTGAAAGAAAAAAACTCCTGGGTTCAGGCATGAATGACTGGTGAGAAGGGAGGCTGGTCTGTCTATTCACAGGGATGGACAGGGAGAAGGCGAGTAGAACTGACAGGTTTTCCAGGGTGACGTGTGGACCATGTTTCTTTGGGAGAACAGTGAGAGGGGAACGTAGTAGCAAGGGAGAGACTACAGAAAGAAGAGAGTGGGGCCTCAAGCCACCTCCCTGGTGTCTTGAGATTTCAGGGAGGTGGGGCAGTCTCAGGAGCACAGGGGTGAGTCTTGGAGGAAGGTTCTTAGTCCTTCAGGTAGAAGGAAGAAAATGAATATGTAATTGAGGGAGTAGAAAGGAGAGAAGAAAGGGATTTATCAGAACTGATGTTCTCTCGGGTCATCTGCTGAGAATGGGAGGAATTATCAATTAAAATATATGGTGCATTTCTCTTTTGTGGACTTCATATATTACATTTCATTTTTCATTTTCTTCTGAACCCAAAAAACATCCATTTAAGAGCCAAAAGCTAATATTGAGAGCCATGGGAGAGCTAAGGTCTCAACCCTGCTTACAGAACTCATCCTGGGAGCC